AGGTTGTTCCATTGGTTAATTGTTCTAACTATCAGGAAGTTTCTCCTTAGTTCTAGGTTGCTTCTCTCCTTGATCAGTTTCCATCCATTGCTTCTCGTCCTGCCTTCAGGTGCCTTGGAGAATAGCTTGACTCCCTCTTCTTTGTGGCAGCCCTTGAGATATTGGAACACTGCTATCCTGTCCCCCCTCGTCCTTCTCTTTGTTAAATACATTGCAGCAACCATTCCTTATATGTTTTAGCCTCTGTAGTAGTCCAATCCCCTGTGATGTATAAGATAACTGTCCAAGAGAGCCTCTTCTTAAAACCTTCTAGAAATATAGAACCCAAAACTTCCATAGATACTTTGTTCTGCTGTTAGGAAAAGTTTCCTTATATTTAAAAACATCTAGGTGGCTACAATTTGTTTCTGGTTGTAGTTTCTGTGGGCATGGAAAATAGTTTTCTATAGCTATAGCTTCCCTATAGCTTTTCTTATGGATCCAAACATGGTTATCATGTCTCCTTAAATCTTCTCTTCAGATATCCTCAAGTCCCTGTATCATCTTGTTGCTGTCCTTTGATTGGTTTGTCAGCATTTTTTCTGGAAATATGTCACTTGTACACAGTACTCCAAGTATGGTCCTCTATAAAGGAAGGATTCTAACTGGGTGGAGATTTGTTTTCATACCTCAGTATGTGCCTCAATATATACATAATGCCATTTCACAAAGTGAAATATGTCCTGTGGATCTTCTTACATGACTAAACTTTAATTCATGTGTTTGGCATGAAATCATGCAGTATGGAAACAGATTCATGTGGGAGAGACTAGTCCTGCAAATAAGTTGTACTTAGACCTTTGAAACAAATGCATGTTGGATCAAGATAATGTACTGTACAAAGCAAATAACAGTGAGCATTTTAGCTCTGCATTTTACATTGGATGAAATTAATGAATATTTCATAAAGATATCCCCATGCAGAGTGCTTTGCAGTAACCTGATCTGGTTTATACCTGACTTTGTCACATATGGTTTTGAAATCAGAAGGCAGTCTCAAAAACATCAGGTCTCCTAATAAATATTAGTTTTAATTAGATTAGCCTCAGTTCACATTTAATCCTAAAACACAGTTATAGTTGACAAGGTAGAGAAGAGTCATGTTAAAAAAGGAAGGAATAAACATTTTCAGAGATGGTTTCCTATCTGAATACTATTAATTATAAGTGAATAAATATATATCCTAATAGCTTCATGGCTTTGTGTATGAGGGGCACTTATTTCCATATGAACTATCTCAAGGTAAAAGCAATGCAGAAGACAGGTGACTGTTTGTTAGCTTCCTTAAGCAATTACTTTTCTATGAATTTAAATTCATTCTAATTGAAAAAATATTACAGTCAGGGTTGAAAACTGCATTCTACTATGTAAGATCTACTCTAGTATTTTAAGCAATGTTTCTAACAGGGAAGATTCAATCTCTAGTGAAAATGCCAGGACTGTATGTTTAACTTTCAACATGGAAAGCATGAATTCTTACATTAAATCATAATGTCATAAGACCATGAAGGAAAATAGACAGTAGAAGATGCATTGTCATTATTACCGCATATATTCTGAATGCACTACTTCAAATAATAGGTCACGAAGAATGAAATTACATCACTATTTGCAAGCTCAGAGAGCATCAAGGACTCCATAATTACATCATATAAGTTACACATACAATGCATTTGTTCTTTAGCAATGTTGCGTTAACTAAATCACAGTGGCAATCAGGGCATTCTTGGAAGACTTGAAAGAACAGATCATCAAGGAGAAAATCTATGTGGTTGTTAGGAATCAAAAATAACATAATGGCACATAATCAATCAATCAATCAATCACATATTGCCTTAAATAAATAATTGCACAATACTATTTTCCATTGTACAGATTTAGTCAGCCATAACTGAAATCTTCACAAACACTTCTTTATTAATCCTTTAGTTCAATTGGTTTTGGCAATAAATTGAAAAAGAAATCAATTGAAAAGGAAATGAAAATGGTGATTCCATGGCAAATGGTTATTTAGTGCCCACCCTTTCTTTGAACACAGAAAAGGCAATAACAAAGATAGAATATTCTCTAGTACAGCAAATGGTGTCCAAGTCTAGAAAATAAAAGAGAGGTTGGAATACTGGAATAAATTTAAGGACATATATCTCACACCTTCCTTAAACTGCCTATAAATTTTGGAACAATGAGATACTATCAGAAACCTGAGACTGAGTCTAAATTTGGGTACCTTAGCCTTTTAAGTTGGAAGAGAGCTTTCATTAAGTAATTGTATAAGGTAATAATTCTGCTTTTATCGTGTTTTATGGAGCCATCACTTTTTTCTGTTGTATTAATAGCTATTAATCCCATGACATGAATCCCATGACATGTCTATCAACTGACATTTTACTAAGGAAAAGAAAATAACCTGCAGGGAAGCAAACTATCAAGAATGAAAATGAATGTTTCCAGATAAGCATGAATTCACACAATTATGCTTAGGACCCATTGGTTTATTTAAAAATACCCCCAAAATGACATTTTCAGCATAATGTAAAAGAATCCTTTGTGGATCAATACAAGAAAAGGTGTAGAATATGAGGCAGCTTTTTTATTCTTTCATTCCTTCTCTTGACTTTACTGCCAAGACTACAGGTGCATGCCATTAAGGGAGCAACTTTATATTTTGTCCAGGTGTAATAATATTTTTAGGATTGCACCGTTATTGCCTTCTCCCCTCTGATCACAGCTGGAAAGTAAAAGTAGCACACTGTGCTGCTGAGATTATGCAAGGTGCTTGTTGTTTCTAAGCAAAAGTCTGAATACCCTGAATAGGAAGATCTGCTGTCATATGGCAAACAGCTTTTAGCACTATCAAAGGCATTAAAAATGCATTTCTGTTCATCTCAGTTTTGTAATACAGACAAGGAGCAGAACTGCATTATTAAAATTACACAGGAGAATTATTTTACTGGAGGCATTTTCATGGGGAATGTACTGTAAGTTGTATTATAGTTGTAGAGCAAAGCAACTTGATGGCAGTGATGAGTATAATACGATAATGAGAAAAACAACCCTGTAAAGATTTTAGGATCTAAAACCTAGATTTTACTGATAAACTAACGACAATCACCAGGTCCACATAAGAGTTATCTATACATTCTTAAATAATGTGAAATTTTGAACTTTTCAATAAAAACAGGTATCATGCTCCTCTTTATACTGGAAAACTGGAAAGTGGCCAGTGTTAACACCCATTTTTAAAAAAAAGAATGGAGAAGAGATCAAAAGAATTACAGGCTGACTAGCTTAAGTGTCTGTTTTTAAGCAAATTGAAGGGGGAAAATTGCAGAATAGGGGACATTGGTTCAAAGTGGTCCAAGAGATTGGAACATTGGGAAGAAGACTATTTCCAGCAATTGGTGCTAGGAGATTGTTGCTAAGGGGATGGAACATATAAAGAGCAGTTTTAAAAAGCAATTGGAGAAAGGATGAAGAAGAGGAAAATTGTGTCCTCTGAGATCCAGAAATGAGTCAACATCATTATCGCCATTCCAATAAGAAGAAAACAATGTGAGGGGCAGGTTTAAAAATGCTATGGATGTGCAGGAGCTTTCAACTAAGCTAAGAGTTAAAAGAAAAGTGTAGGAAATGGAAGATGGGTAAAATCATTAAGCAGAAATACCAGCAACGGGCTCATACCTGAAAAAAGAGAGTCAGAAAGGCAAACATGCCAAAGGAACTTAGGTTAAAAGATCCCCCAAAAGGGGGGCCTTTGGGTTAAAAAGGAATTTTAAAGCAAATTTTAAAAATTTAAATGCTGCTTGGATAATATAGTAGGATATTTATAGGTGATGGGGAAGAGGTTAGAGTACCTCAGTATACACTTTACTTCAGTTTTGTCCTGCAAGAAGAACTGTGTTCCAGGACCTCAAGGCAGAAACAACAGGAAAATATAAGCAAAGAATAGGAGATGCGCAAAGAGATAGTAGACTGCCATAAATGTGCCCTCAGGACCAAATCATTTGCATACTTGAAGGACCTTGAAGGATGCCATCCTAGGGTCCTGTTCTATGAACTCTGAAACTCACAAACAATGAAGATAGTTCCAGAGGACCAAGGAACAGGCAATGTTGTTCTTATCTTCAAAAAGGAAAAAAAAAAAGAAGATCCTGACCGGTGATCAGCTTGATATTGATACAATACATTATTAAGCACACGTTTTATGTAATGCAAGTATTACTTGGCAGGCACCAGCATGGAATTATCATTGTTCTTTGATCTTAAAAGATTCAACCAGATTGCCAGCAGATTTTTATGAGGCAGAATGGCTCTAAGCAATAGTGATGTGGATCTTGTGGGAGGAAAGAGTTCAGCATATTGCTGATTTTTCCATAAAAAAGACATGGAGAGGCCACTACTGCTAAAATTGAGAATATCAGTAATGAATAAAGAAATATAATTGCTAGGGAAAGCAGACAAGATCCACCCAAATCCTTAAAAATAGGGTTTTCATATATGAAATTTCACTGCTTTCTCTAGGTGACTAGATCATTCTTAGAGCTTTGTTTATCCAAACATGTGACTTTTAGATATCACATTGTTTAAAGATAACATTATAAATCATCCTGAAGGACAAGTCTGACTGAAAAACACTTGGCTATATTAAAAAAAAAAATTTCAAGACAGCCTTAGGATGAGGAGCAATGATTGGAACAAAGAAGAAGTTAAATGGTTATTTCAGTTGATGAAAACAAACAAAAACCATAAAGAACTTGAAAAGGGTCTTCCCACACTGGGGCTAAAATGCTTCATGCAGTTTATATAAACAAATATAAAGTGATGCACATGAAGTAAAGGAAACTCCACCTTTTCATATATACTGGTGCAAAATCATCAAAAGCATTTAGAGTAAATTGCAGAGAAGGTAGAACCACTTGTTTTTCAACATGTACAAGTTCATCTCTTTGCTCACTACTTACTTTCCTTCTGATCCATAGCTGTTCATACTGTCCTCAATGGATTCGTGACTGGCTTGCCGGATAGTTCGACTTGGCATTTCAACAGCCAGTCCAGTTTCTGTACTCCGCTGGATAGCCCCTTTCAGTTTCCGGCCATCTCCTTCTAAAGCAAAGAGGAAGTGAGAGAGGGGAAGGGAAAGGGAAAGAGAGAAGAGAGAGAAAAGAAAGAAAGAAAGAAAGAAAAAAGATTAGGCATTTAGACATTGGGTGAAGAGTGTTCAGTAATGTAACACTAGTACATATTAACAGCATGCCTAAAACACCAATAGTTAGATATACAGGTTATCCTTGACTTATGATCACAATTGAACCCAAAATTTCTGTTGCTAAGTGAGACATTTGTTAAGTGAGTTTTATTCCATTTTATGACTTTTCTTGCCACAGTTGTAAGGGAATCACTAGTTATTAAGTTAGTAACATGGTTGTTAAGTGAATTTGACTTTCCATTGACTTTGCTTGTCAGAAGGCCCCAAAAGGTGATCACAAGACTCTGGGACACTATAACTGTCATAAATGTGAGTCAGTTGCCAAGCATCTGAATTTTGATCATGTGACCTTAGGCATGTTGCAACAGTCATAAGTGTGAAAAACAATCATGTCACTTTTTTCAGTGCCATTGTAACTTTGAATGGTCACTAAATGAACTGTTGAAAGTCAAGGACTACCTGTATTACCATAAAACTCTTCAGGTTTTAAAACATAACCTATAAACACACATTCCAGAAAATCAGACAGTTGTTTCCTAAAAGTCAGTATTATTTAGGAAAGTGAGATGAAAGAGTTGAGCGGACAAGTAGTCTCCTCTCTGCAACTGTTGTGCCTGGTAATTGTGTCACCTCCATTGTTTCTCTGTTAGCAAAAGTGACAAAATTCTCCCTAATGAAAATCACACTTGTGATTTTCAAAACTGTATCACATATACTATTAAAATGTTAGATGTTAGAGTCCAATCTCCTTCAGTCCCATTCAATATACTCAGAGATGATATGAGCTGTCACCTACCTCCTGGATTTATCCATTTATTTTTATGAGTACCTGTTGCTTCTATTCCTGGGAAAATAAAAAAAATATTCTCTTTATGAGTAATGAAAACCATATGTAGCCAATAAGATGGGGAGGTTATTATTTATGCAACAATTCCTTTACTCTCCTTTTCAGCCACTCTATTTTATTGATTTTATTTCTGTCTTGCAATGTGGTTCATATTTTCATATTTTTTTCCTGTTTCTTAATTTCATACTGTATTCAGATTTTGTGAGATAATTAACCATTTTACCAAAACATGACCAGTTCAAGAAAAAAAATGTCTTACACAATGCCACTGAGTGATGGTTGGTAAAACAATGAGTGCTTGACCCACTAATATATCAGTTAATTTCAGCTTCTGCTGAAGTCAAAGCCTGTCAATGTCTTTCTTTCTTACTGTATATCAATTTATCCACCATGGGAGTTCTTACAAGCAGTAATTACAGATGAAGCCACCACTTATCTAAAACTTGAATCAGTAATGATTATTTATTCTAGTCTTCTGGGAACTTGTTTGCTGCTTTTTATCAGAGGATCCTGTCACACAATGATTAAAAAAGATTAAGTGATTTGAAAACCCCATTCATTCTAAACCCATTAAGTAGTTCTATGCCAAGGGAGTAGAGTATACTTTTGGGGGGCTAAGACCACTCTGAACATTTTTAAAAGTGTACTAAGTTCAAAAAATGGGTGGGAACAGGGCAAAGAGAAGAACCCCTAAATTTGACCTGATCAGATTAATTAAATACAATAGAACCACTCTCAATGCATTTCATATTTGTCTCAATTCAGGAATCCAAATTAAAGCATCCCAGGCAGATGGCCCTGTAGCCTTTCTTTGAACACAACTAATGGAAAGGACGCTTCCCAACTGTGAGTAACTGATTCTCTTGTTGAATTTCTGCTTTTCTGTAACTTGTATCTGTTATTCCATGTCCTGCGGTTTGGAATGATAGAAAACAGATACTTACTTTCTATGTGAAATCTTTTCAGGTAACGGAAGCACACAATATCCCCTCTCAGCTGTTTTTTCTCAATTCTAAATCTGCCCAAATCCTTCAATCCTCTTCACCTTTTCTAAACCTATTCTGGTTTCTCAGAGTCCTTCAAATGTCATGTCGGGAACTGAACATAATGCTTGAGGTGAGATCTGAGCAAAGCAGAATAGAGTGAAATGATTACATTTCATGATCTGGAAATAATAATTGGTATATGATGCAATCAGTGCTTTTTTTGTAAAAAAAAAAAAAAAGGTGCCGGAACTCACACACTTCATACAACCCGCCTTGCCTATCATACAAGGTTCCATCCAAAAAAAGGTGCCGGAACTCCGTTCTGAGTGTTCTATGAGAAAAAAAAGCCCTGGATGCAATCTAGCACTGCATTTCCTTCCTTCCTTCCTTCCTTCCTTCCTTCCTTCCTTCCTTCCTTCCTTCCTTCCTTCCTTCCTTCCTTCCTTCCTTTCTTTCTTTCTTTCACATTGCTGGCTCAGATTCAATTTGCCATTGACTACTATTCCAACATTTTTTTCACAACTCCTATTATCACCTGGAATTTGAATTTTGCTTCTAAGTGAAATCTTCTACATGACTCTGTTAACAATTTATTCTTATTTTCAGCCCATCCTTCCATATCACATCAAGGTCATTTAATTGTATTTCTGTCTTATAGTATTAGTGATGCCACCCAATTTTGTAACATCTGCAAATTTGATAAGCATTTCCTCTTCCTATTGATCTAGGTCATGAATAAAAATGCTGACGAGAACCCAGAACTGATCCTTAAGGCATACCACTTGATACCTCTTCAATATGATGAACAACTATTGACAATCACTGCTTGAGTACAGTTTTCAAGCAATCTAGTTGTAATGCCATCCAGATCACATTTATTTCAAGCTGCAAACATTAGTTATAAATATGGATACTTGGGAAAAATGTAAGAAAGTAGTGTTAAATTTACACTGTATTACAATGTAAGAGGTTTTTTAAAATAAAATGATGTATCATATATGTATGACACTGGTCAAAGCTGTCAAAAATGTACAAAGGAATATCAATTCAATGTTGGAAGTGTGAAAATGAAGAGGCGACCTTTTATTGTGCATGGTAGACTTGTGAAAAAGCAAAGGAATTTTTTGGGCAAATCCGTATCCAAAAGATATTCAGATTAACATTATGATGAAATCAGAAATTTCTACTGGGTTTTATGAGTATTGAACTAGAAAATAAATACAGGAAATTAATACTGCATCTGGAAGAATTATGAAATGCCACAATAGAAGATTGGATTATAAAATTGATGAAGCTTAGAGAAGTGCTCTGATAAAGACTTTTTTTTAAAGATTGTAAACCTTGTATGGACTTTTTGTTGAAAGAAGAAAAGGGAAGAGAAAGAATAAGATAACAACTGAATAGAAAGAAGGGCAGAAATTATAATTCTATTTTTTGTTCTCTTTCTTCCACTTATTTTCTCTTTTTCTTATGTACTTTTTTACTTATCTTAAAGTATATATTTTATATTTTTATTATATTCAAAATTCTAATAAAAACAAATTTTAAAAAACCAAGATTATATTTACTTTGCAAGTGTATAAATTATTGAAATAACACACATGCATATTTGGGAGAATATATGTGTGAAAACATAGGCTTGCTTCAGTCCAAATTATATGAGAAATATATATATATATATATATATATATATATATGTTGACCAAAGTTTTGTTTTATTTTGTTCAGTTGTGCCATAATAAGTAATTTATTATTTTTATCTAAAAACCATTTCTCACCTTCCCTTTCTGATTATAAATTCCATTTACTTTGATCATCAGTTTTCATCAGATCCATACTTGACTTTTATTCTCTTATTACTAGATAACATTTATTTAACAGAACTTTGGAAAAGTTTCCCTTGAGAAGTACCTTTTCTAACAGTTAAATTAACTACTACCGATTCAAGACTGAAACACAAAGAAAAAAAATAGTATAAAGAACCTTACCTTCCAAGAATCTTTATTTTGCTTTAAAGCACAGTGTGCATTAAGAAATGGCCAACATTTCTTTTTCAGCAAAAGTTTCTTAATGCATCAGCAATGACTTGAGTCCTCATCAGCAATAACCAAATATCTTGAGACACATAAAACCATTCAACAGTCTTCTAGCTCAGTTTATTTCTGTGGGTTGTGTCTTCTGCCCATTTTTAAAGAAATAGACAAGAAAGCCAGATTTCTCATCGCCAGCTAGGTCACCATTCCCATTGTTTTGAAAATCTATTTTCATAGACGACTATGAATGCAATATGATGGAATTTTTAATAAATAACTATAGGAAGGGACTCCAGTAGATGTTTTAATCAATAGTTGGCCCTGCACAGCAAACTGGATAATTTATTAGTCACTTGGGCATAAGTGCCCATCTTACTGATAGATGTTTTTAATTTTTTAAACTTTAAAAAAGATGCATTAATTCTTGTAAATTTATATATATTGAGTGTTTTTTGATGCACCCTGTCAGCCCAAATATGGGAGAAAGAAATCTTTCTTTTTCTTTTGCCTGTATCAGCTCAATCTAGAGCCATCCACAGGCAGCAACTGTGACATCATTTGTATATATACATTGTTTGGATTGCTAACAAAGAATAAGGGAGGATGGAATATCTATTTCCAGCTTCTTAGCTCTCTTCAGCCAAACATACCCTTCTGAGATTCGAACCTGGGCTGCTTACATCTTAGGCAGCTGTGTTAACCTCTAGGCCACAGGCTCTTTCCCACTTTGTCAGCTGTATCAGGGAGTGAAGAGACAAGGGGAGGAGATTTACCTTGAGTGTTTTTTGATGCACCCTGTCGGCCCAAATATGGGAGAAAGAAATCTTTCTTTCTTTTTCTTTTGCCTGTATCAGCTCAATCTAGAGCCATCCACAGGCAGCAGTTGCCAACTGCAACATCATTTGTATATATACATTTCTCATATATATACACACACATACAAAAATGACCATTATGATGATGATTTTAATGTCGTTCTTCTGATGTGGCAGCATAAAAACGGCCACGTTAATACATACTAAGGCTTCTTA